TTCTGACCCTGTCCTATTACTTTGACTTTCGTAACTGACCTGACAGTCGTTGTGGGGTATGAGATAAATTGAATTATTTTGTTTAATGGACTTTATAGGATCCTTTAACCAACATAATTTGTTTTCTAAGTGAGTTATAATTGATATAATTGTGAATAAGAAACTGTGTTCAAAATGTCAACCAATAAATTATCCAGTAACTACTACATACAATTGGTTAAAATGTTTTAAGGCAAACTAACTGTTGACTCCTAAAGTTGGCATCTGTTTCCAACACTTCCATCACTAAACCAATAAGAAATAAATCTCAGATTCTTAAATAGGAACTTTTATTGTGTAAGGAAAAGGAAAAACACCAACATATGTGAATTATGCAGCTGCCCAAAAGGTACTAGAACATTTATAAATTTAAAAAAATAATCTTCAAAAATGAGAAAAAACGAAATACAAGTCATAATGTATAAAGGGCACGAAAACAGTTCAAATTCAAATACCCAAGAAAATCACTACAGGATTTCAACAATAATTATATACATATGCAACATCTATATTCCCAATATTTCGCTGTTATATGAGAAATTATTCATCTCCTGAATAGAAAGGAATAAACCTAGAGAGAAAGGAAATTATTTCGTTCATACTTGGCTTTTATCATCTACAAACTAAGTTAGAGTAAACTAAACTAAGCTACAGTTTACTTCAAACATTATTTATTTGTTTTATTTCATTCCTTTGCGTTCCAAGGGGAACATAGGGCTTCAAGCTTCAGCTTTGAAGTTTTAGTGATAATGGTGTTTACTTTTACAGGGTGGCGTTTCTAGTCTCACACTCAACGTTCCATCTTTACTGGGCTCACGACTGGCTAAGCGAGGTTTAGGAGTGTGTCGACTGGGGATCGAATCCTGGAAGAAGTGCGTGGTTGACAAGCACACTACTCCTACTGAACCACCGATACCCTAGTTGGTACCTGCAACTACTAAAGTTGCGGCAATAACTAACAAAGTGTTGTAAAATTGAAGAATAGGGTAAATTGTAGAAGTAAAACCTACAACTTATTAGTTTAAACACTAGTCGTAATCATCTCCAACTTGTGTTCTCTAAAATAAACTAATAATTTAAAACCTAACCACCACTTCCTTCTATCTTGAAACTTTTCAACAGTGCGCACCCTTCAACCAACAAAAAAGACTGAACTCAGAATAATCAGGTTCCGTAATTTCCTATTCAGTCAGTGGAAAGGAATCTAACTGCTCCATGATGTTAACCTCACCTAGTTTATTGTGATATAATGCTATCGCCTTTCATAGTTATCTGTATATCATCTTTCCTCAGTGAACTCCAGTAGTCACGAATTATTCGAAATGTTGTTGGAAGTCAGAAGAAATAGATCTTAGAAATGTAGAGTCATCTGGTAGCTGCTTTATGACTAAGTCACCTTGAAATATTCCAAATACCCAACGAGGAAACCATAGAATTAGTAAAAACTGCTTCAAACAATATATAGAATTCATATGCGCAAAAAACTGCTCGCTATATTTTGTTTGATGTTTTCAAGGAGTTTGAGGTTAATTAACATCAATTCAAAAATTAATTAAAATGACACAGGGCACAAGAAGTTATTCAGTTAGCCTTATGTGCAGCTACCATATTTAACAAGATTACTTTTGAAACCAACTGATACTTTCATCAAACACTACAAGTAATTAAGAATATGCTCACCAAAGAAGTGGAGCAAAGGAAACACTGGGCTGAACACTTCAAAAGACTCCTAAATCGACCACCACCTACAACGCGCCCGACAATACCAACAACGGAGACAGAGCTACCAGTGAACACCAACCCCCCGACGAAATCAGAAGTCCTGAAGGCAATCAAGATGCTGAAAGCTGGAAAAGCAGCAGGACCAGATGGAATCCCAGCAGAGGCATTGAAAGTGGACCCAGAGACAACAGCGGACTTGGTGACGCCACTAATGGAGAAGGTGTGGAAAGAAGGTAAAGTACCCGAGGATTGGAAGAAAGGATACTTATTCAAACTACCAAAGAAAGGAGACTTAAGTCAATGCAAGAACTGGCGCGGAATTATGCTCCTATCCATCCAAAGCAAAATACTAAGCCGCATCAACCTGGAGAGAATCAAATAAGCCATGGATGAAAACTTCGACCGAAACAGGCTGGATTCAGGAGAAACAAGTCATGTATGGATCAAATCGCAACACTACGGATCATCATTGAACAAAGTTTGGAATGGCAGTCACCTCTCTATCTCAACTTCATCGACTTTGAAAAGGCCTTCGACAGCGTCGACCGAGAGGTGATTTGGCAACTACTTCGCTACTACGGGGTGCCGCCGACAATTATACATCTCATCCAACAGTTGTATGACAACGCTGCATGCCAAGTAATCCACAACGGAAAACTTACGGAATCCTTAGAAGTGAGGACAGGAGTGAGACAAGGCTGCCTACTATCGCCAATGATTTTCTTGATTGCAGTAGACTGGATAATGCGACAAACAGTGGGCAATGAGGAAACAGGCATAAAATGGACTCAAACAAAAAACTTGGAGGATCTGGACTTCGCCGATGATATATGTCGGATTTCCCACAAACTGGAAGACATGCAAGCGAAAAGCAACAAGTTATCAGAAGAAGCATCAAAGATAGGACTTCAGGTGAACATAGAGAAAACAGAGGTGATGAGAATTCCTGGGCAACCCCACCAACAGCAACAACAACAGACAACAATCAGCATAAATGGGAGGAACTTGAAAGAAACAACCTCTTTTACCTACCTGGGAATCATCGTTTCAACTACAGGCGAACGGAACTGACGAGGATATCAAAGCAAGAATCGGAAAATCAAGACAAGCTTTCAATACTCTCAAGTCTGTGTGGAGGTCAACAGCACTCAGCATGAAAATGAGAATAAGATCCGGATTTTCAACTCCAATGTGAAGTCAGTGCTACTATACGGATCAGAGACTTGGCCAGCCCTTCATAAAAACGATGGATAACCTAATAATTCATGATTCTTTCTACACAATGCTTCTTAAAAATGAATCACTTAGGAAAATAGAAGTTAATGATTTGAGGAAATATTTTCAAAATATGAATTTTATTTTTTTGTAATGTAAAAATTTTCCTGATTCATTCAATGCACAAAACGGAAACATAACCAAAATTAGTCATAATACTATTAACAACAGTGAATATTGAATAAAGTTTTCACTTTTAAATGAGAATTAGTGAATAACACTAATATAAACATAAAAATCACCAGTAACAAACAAATCAACTTTTCACAATGAATTAGACCAATATTCTGGACACAAAAAGAATTAGGCATACAACTACAAGAAGAATGAAATTCATCTCTACACATTAGTAAATAAGTTAAATTCACTGGTAAAATATATACAGACAGAGAATGGAAACTAGTCAGTGGGTAAACAAGAATATCAATAAAGAGGAACATACTGAGACACTTAGACAACTACAAACTGAGGGATGGAATTAATTTCTCAGTGAATGTTCGATTTCCGTATATCCTGTTCATGTTTTTTATCTAAGTTCGTGGTGGAATCCATCAATATGTAAGTGATATGTATCTCTTATTGATTTAAGTTTGTGTTTGATATTGATTGATTTTGTAGTGCCTAGATGTTCGACCTATGTTGACATGTTGGCACCTAGTATGGACACTTCGGCAAAATCTGAGGATTAACATGATGTTACCTGGTAAATGGTGACTAGCAATGGGATCCAGGGTGCGCACTTTGTCCTAGTTGGGACTTGTCAGCTGGATGTGCCTATAATCCCGAGTGGTGATGTTACCTCCGAGACTCGAACCCAGCACCCATCGTTCAAAATCCAAAGGCCACTTGGGCCTTAAATAGAGAACTTTTGTGGCACAGGTATCAGTTATAATCTGTTTCATTTAATTTTGTATTTTTCGTTAATTGATTATTTTGTAACGAAATGTTCGATATCTGCTGCCACGTTGACAAGTTTAAGTCCCAGATATGCATGAATGTGCAGTAAGAGTTCAATTTATTTATATATTCGAAACCCACTACTTATTATAAGTAAGTAGTGTGATTCTTTATGACAAATGTTCAATATTCTGGCATAATATATTTATTCTGGACAGTATTTATCAAATGTACAAAATTTTCAGAGGAGTTTATTGCAAGATATTTTCCCTTCGTACATTAAATATCTTCAAGTAAAATATTAATTGACAGTATATCCTGTGACACAATGCTCTCCGAGCTGAAGCACAAACCATTCCATTATGATATATCTGGTTTGTCTCCTCCAAGAAATCTACGATATCTGGTTGAAAGCCAATTGTAAGATGTTCAGAAGTACATTTTGAGACCCAAGAACATAAATGAAGCACAGTTATTTCATGTATTCGAACACGTTGCCACCAATAATCAGGTCATTCCTTAAGTTTAGTAAGAACTTGCGAATCAGGAGCTTGTAAACATTTTAAATACACACAAGAGTAGATAACACCAATAGAGGTCATATCTTAGTCGATTAAAACAAACAGAACGAGAGAAAATATATGCAATAGAGAGATGGAAGTTTTTGGTAGCCCAAGTTTTAAGCAGGCTGCCATATATGATTAAGAAGAATACTTATTAGTCATTATAGATCATTATTTTTTTCTACATAGGCCAAACTAATCACTGTTTTATTAAGTGGTGTTAAAGTAATTACCGAAAATGAACGAAAAATCTTATACTAGATGGGAAGAAACCCACTTCAACATATCAAGGAGAATGAAAAATAACGGTTAAAAAGTGGTACAAATTGTAAGTGGTCGAATGCGACAATTTACCTTTGTAAGTGAAGGAGTAAAAACCAAAATAAGACCAAAGAAGGAAATACTTCGTTTTGAATTAGGGAGCCATATATATATAAAGTTAAAGGATTTGGACTTTTTTTAACAAAAGAATTTATAACGAACATTCATTTAAGAAAAACTCACCAAATGTGATTTATCCAGTCGCTCTAAAGCCAAAGGACCTTTAAAAGCTGGGATTATTGCAGGAACCTGATTCACTGTTATCGGCTTTGATTGTGAAATCTATATAAAAAAAATACAAATAACAGATTGAACTAAAGAAAATAAAGTGGTGTGGAAACTAAAAGAAACTAATACAATAAAAAAAATTTTATAAAGTGGTGAAGAGAAATGGGGAAATCGAGGACTATTTCACAGTTTTACACTTGATTTCTGATTTTCTTTGTTAGTAGGTGTTAAAATTATTTCCCAGGTTTAAAGAAATGGCTGCATACTAATGTTCTGATATCATGAAAAAGTATATATCACAAGGCACACCAAAGTATAACAGTATGCACCAAAGTCTTATGCATTAGAGTTAGAAAGAACATATCACTGATTAAAAAGTGCGTCGGTGGTATAGCAGTTAGGATGCTCGCCGACCATGCACATGGTCCGGGGTTCGATCCCCGGCTGACGCACACCTTTACCTCGCTGAGTCAGAAATAATGCTGGTGAAGAGGAAAGGTTGGGCATGAGGCTAGCAACCCCATCCTGTAAAATAAAACACTGCTACAGAAACTTCAAGCCACTAGCCTGAAGCCCTATGTTCCACTGGGGAATGTGAAGGAAAAAAAACTGATTAAAAAGCATCATAGAATGAAGCACAATTGAAGCTGGTTAACTGTCATTTGAACTTCATTGAGTGAAACGCAGTTCAAAATTATGACCAAAATTTGAATAATACTGTTAAATGATGATGATGAAGATAACCAACCACCACCAACAGTAACAACAACCAGCACCAATCACTATCAAAGGGAGAGATTTAACAGAGGTTACCTCCTTCACTTATCTGGCCAGGAAGCATCGTTTCAACTACAGGCAGTTGGTACGGATGAAAATATCGAAGCCAAACAGAATCGGAAAGATAAGATACGCCTCCATCAACCAGAAACTAGTTTGGAAATCTTCTGCACTCAGCTAGCAGAAAGAACACAATTCGGATTTTCAACACAAATGTGAAGTCAGTCGGTTCTTCTGTACAGGTCAGAAACTTGGAGGGAGTGTCACAATAAGGATTTCCAACAAGTTACAGACTTTTATCAACAAATTCCTTCGCTGGCTCCATACTGAATATCGAATAGCTGGCCGGCTAAAAAGAATTAGCAACAAGAACCTCTGGCAACAAACCAACCAAGAGCCGATCGCTCAACAAATATGCAGAAGAAAGAAGGATATTGATCGGGAGGCATACGTTTAGGAGGCTGTCAAATGACATCGCGAGCCAGGCCAACGCTCGAGTGGAATCCTAATGGGGAGGGACGAGTGGGTATCGATGCGAGGGTGAAATAGAGCAGATCGTGAGAGTTGGAAGAGATGAGAGATTATGGGCAATCGTGAGGCTAGCCAGCTGGAGAGGACAGCAGAGAATAAAATAAAGTGGAGATGTGTTGTTGAACTTAATATTAATTTTTATTTACCATAGTTTCAACAACATGTGGTGCACTTGATACCACAAAATGTCAATCAAGAAAGCAAGTAAAGATGCATGATGCTGTATACTACTAATTAGCTGATAACAGTAGTTGGATACTACTCAAGCAGATCACAAATTGTGATCTGAATAATTCCAAAGGAAACCATGATGAAATTTCACCTAGAACTGTGTAAATTGTAAAACAAGAATTAATTTGTAGATTGCAAATTTGGATTTAATGTCCATTTGTGTTAAAACCCTTCGCTTCACAACAACATGAACTTAGAAAACAATATTTATAAACGTTATTAGAATCACCTTTAACTAACCTGATTTAAAACATCAGCGAATTCTTTTAAGGATCTAAGAACAGGTTGGGAGTAACTGGCAGACGATAAAGACGTCTCAGTAACTAACTGAAGCTTTTCTAATAATGAAGATTGAACTGCACTATCAAATCTATGTGCCAGGGCTTTTGTGTCTATAGATTCACACTGTTCTGGTGTCCAAAATGCTCGAGATAGAAATACTCGTGGGAAAGCGAAACTGGAAAGGTGTGAACGTAAAATGAACTAAAAAGTATGCTGGCAATCATATGTGCATTAGATTATTATTGTTATATTATTATTACTATTATATTATTATTCTTTCCTTTAATTCCTAGAGGAACATAGGGCTTCAGCCGCACGTCTCCATTGCGTTCGGTCCTCCGCCACGTTTTCACCTGGCTCCACGTCTGCCCACATGCCTTCATCTCCTCTTCACATAACGTCCTCCATGTCGCCCTCGGACAGACAACCAACTCGCCGCTTCCCATTCGGGTTCCACTCGAGCGATGGCCTGGCGTGTGATGTCACTTGATGGTTTTCTCTGAGTATGAACAATCCACCTCCATTTCTTCCTGCATATTTGTTGCACAATTGGTTCCTGCTGGGTTGGTTCGCTCCCAGAGATCCCTGTTGCTGATCTCTTCTGGCCGGCCATCTGATCTTGAGTATTGAGCGAACACAGCTGTTGATGAAAGTCTGTAGTTTAATCGAAGTACCCTTCGTGACGCGGCGCCAAGTCTCTGATCCGTACAATAGCACTGACTTTACATTGTAGTTGAAAACCCGGATCTTATTTTTCATGCTGAGTGCTGTTGAACTCCACATAGACTTGAGAGAAATGAAAGCTTGCCTTGCTTTACCGATCCTCGCGCTTTGATATCCACGTCAGTTCCGCCTGTAGTTGAAACGAAGCTTCCCAGGTAGGTAAAGAAGGTTGCTTCTTTCCGATTTCTCCCATTTATGCTAGCTGAAAGTTGTCTGTTGTTGTTGCCGTTGCTGTTGGCCAGGAATCTTCATCACCTCTGTTTTATCTATGTTCACCTGAAGTCCTATCTTCTTTGGATGCTTCTTCTGTCAACTTGTTGCTTTTCACTTGCATATCTTCCAGTTTAGATTATAGATATACTAAATGCGATTATTCTGTAATCATAATATTAAGTTATCTTTTTCATTCTATCCTTAATTCTGGTTGTGAAACAACTTAACACTCATAAAAATATTACAGGTAAATAATTAAAACATTCGATGAGGATTTGGTGTAGGCACTTCACAATGTCAGATGATTGATGAAAGCAGTAACCAGAAAGTTATAACACAAGGCTCTGTGAATGCTTGTGATTTCATGGAAACTTGAACTCTATAATTTAACCTGATGACCGATCACCACTGAACATTGAGTGCCCCATGTACCACAACCTTTTGTCATTTAGTTAACTTGACACAGTACACACCTAAATGATAACATTTACTAAGCATAGACTGTTTGAAAATAAAACATCTCTTTTCCCAGTTTTTTTTGTGAGGGCTGATAATACTAACCAGTCGCTCAAGACGAATCGCATAAAGCAGGATTGAGTGCCTAAATGTCGAATGCTAAAGCTAGTAGTTCACAATTCTGTCTACTAGCCTTATTATTATTGTTTCCTTTAGTTCCTAGAGGAACATAGGGATTCAGCCGCACGTCTCCATTGCGTTCGGTTCTCTAACAACCTTTTCACCTGGCTCCACGTCTGCCCACACGCTTTCATCTCCTTTTCACATGACCTCCTCCATGTCACCCTTGCACTGACGACCAACTCGCCACTTCCCATTCGGATTCCACTCGAGTGATGGCCTGTCTTGTGATGTCACTTGATGATGGTTTTCTCAGAGTATGGCCTCCTAGCCTTAGACTATATGTTATTCCATAAATGCAGGTATTTTTTTGAATTCTCAGCATGTAATTATATGCCTATTCATACACTGGACAGTAAATCAGACTCGATAAATAACGTGGAGACGTGGCTCATTATCTTAAGCATTTGACTTTCAGCTAACAGGTCAGGAGTACGTATCCCACTCCACCTGTTCCAGCCTGGTCAGTTGGATAGAATCCCTAACCCTCGCACAACAACAAGTGTGATTCATAGCCTGGAACATGAAAGACCTGTTCAAGGAACTGAATTCACGCAATAAACAATGAACAACGTTTATTGATGCTACCTAGCTGTCCAAACTCTGATTTAAAAAAAGTGATAATTGAAAAAAGACCTAATTTATGAATGTGAACTGTCACAACAAATGAACCCTAACTTCAGTTAAAAGCACAGAGAATCCATAAAAGCATTCAGTATGTTAATTCTTCATAACTAACAGTCAATTCTAGTTTCTTGAAAAACAAGACATGAAGACTATTGATATTTTTAAAAGTTTCTTTTATATCAGAAATGAAATAGTATCATCAATGTAACGCTAACTAAAATTTGTATTTCACCGTAAAAATGCTATTTGAACTCTCTACACAATATACACAAACGTTAAGAGGAAAAATAACTTACAATAAAGGTAAAATTAGTATAGTTCCAGGTAGTGGAGCAAGAATTAATACAGGAGAAATGCGAATCAAATCTTTAGGTACCTAGGTGGAAAGAAAATTCTCAGCATTACAAAAAGAAAAGCATATTACAGTAATTTGGGAAATACTATCAGTGTGTGTGTGACAAAATGAAAGATACTGTCTCAAACCATTTAATTCTCTCCTTACAAGTTTAAGCATGTTTAAAAAAGAAAATGTCTTCAAATAACGATGCAGTCGTTGTGTACTATAATCTCTTCGACAAATCTATTCAATTCAGATCTTGTATGGGTTACACACATACACGCTTGTAATTGGTTCAACAAAAGTTTCCGAAACAAAACTATCGAATTAAAGCAAAGCAAAAATAGATACAGAAGTCTTCTACTTTGAATGTAATGTTCAGTTTTTATCTCACATCTCATATCCTAACAATTTCTAAGAAAGTGTTCTGTCTAACCTACTACATTAAGAAACTTAGACAATCTAGAATCACACAACCTCTACTTTCACAATTTGTCAACTCTTGTATCTTACCTATTCTACTTTACTTCTCCCCGTTAGTCTTTCCTGGGCTACTGAAAAAGGACTATACCATCCTGAGGAGGATATTGAAGCTAGTTAGTAGGACTAGTGGTGTAAAACTCAGTCAACTCGTCACTACATGAGTTGGAAGGCATCTGAATACATGCCAAAAATGGTCTAAAACCATACTCTCTGACCCCCAACACCCCCTTTATTCCCAACTCTCTCCTTGTATCTCATCAAGTAGAACCAGAAATCAGTATAAAATAATCTATGCTCGTACAACCAAGTACAGGAACTCAACGATACCATACTTGGCCCGTGTTCTAAGTAACAGAGACAATGTTAAGCGCGAAACCTATGACTTACTTTGTTAATAACATAATTTTAGGCTCTTTTATTTCTCTCTTATTTTGTATTCTATAGTGAACTCCCTCTTAAACATACTTAGCTACCTAAATTATTAACATTGGCTTACTTTTTGTACTTTACTGTATTCCTTCTTTTGTGTATCTACTGGTTCCGACTGTATTAGCACTATGAGTAGTACAAAATTTTCCTTTCATTAACCATCATGTAATTATTAGTTTTTGTAGTTGTTGTTTTTTGTTCGGCAATATTAACTGACAATCTTGGTTGTGAAAGCCATTATCACCATCTTAAAATTTTGTATTATGCAGGACTACTCATACTACCACTACAAACACTGCATTAGAGCTGACAATAAAAAAACAACCCTGAAATGTATTTTATGTTTGTTTAGTGTTGATTCAACCAAATTAACTGGTCATCTTGGGGATAAACATTCCTAAATATTATTTCATAACTTCTTGTAAGACTATAACTTTACTGTCACCATGCATAATCATATCATAGCTTCCACTACTCAATACTGAGACATTATTTTACGTTGATTATTTTCCTTTCTACTTCTTAGTATTTTTTTCGCATTTTTTATTATATTTTTGTTTCTTTTTTGTTTTTGTTGTTGCTGTTTTTTATATTTATTTTTTGAAATACTCCTTTTAAATGTTTGATAAAATTAGATGCAAATATTGTAGATATGTATTGAAAATTCCACACAGTACCACTAGTACTGTTTCTGGAATAAAGCCAATTATTATTATTAATAGTGTCATCATTAAACGAAAGAAACCAGATTATTGCAGGCACTCATTTGAAATGATCAACGCGTTGGCCTCCTAACCTGAAGATCCTGGGTTCGACCTCCCCCAATGGAGTCATCGGTGCGTACTACTTAAAAGACTCCAACTAGGACGAAACATATGTTCTCGCTACTTCCTAATGTTCAATGATCCTTTAAATGAAGTTAGTTTGTGATCAAACTTGACATTCAAGCCAGCCTAAAGGGTAAAACTGACGATCAACCCAAAGGAACTATCCTCAATATTCACATAGAAACAGTATGATGTAGTCCGCATAAAAATGATAATGGTTAATTGGACAACACCCCAACACCGCATATCACAAAGAAGTACTCAAATGAACTGTCGTCAGGATTTGACAGAACAGTTCTAAAATATTTGGGCGCCAAGTGAGAAGTAGACATTTGTAAAAAATTATATTTGTAAAATCTCAGCGAGATTGAAATGAGTAATTCCAACGTTTCCTGTGTTCGGCAATCTGGTCCGAACTTCTTCAGGGAAATTAATCGAAATTCACATAACAGAGGGTTATATATAAAAGGAATATCACTTCTTTTTAAAAACTTTGTCCAATCATGAGTCATTCAACAAGTATCAACAAGTATAATAAACAAAATTGTATGAGCTGTGGTCAAAATTTGTGTAATTGGCACAATCATCCTGTTTTCACTCTCCGTTGTATGCAACAGAATGCACATCCTAAATCCGTAGCTGTCGAGTCACCTGACAACTCCAGAAGGTTGAATAAAGCAGCTCAATCTTCAGAAAGAGGACAAAGCAATAAGTCCAACAGACTGCTTCAACTAAACTCTAATCCCAAACACCATAATTTTGAAAATACGTCTAATCATAAAATTCTAGATACTAACAGTTTGAACAGACATGAAGGCGTGATATTAGCTGATGCATAGGAAATCCTTATTAATATATAAAAAAGGGATATGTAACACTAATTATTAATACTTGGTCGAAATTCTAGACTGTTCATATCTTCTTATGGAAATGTTTTACAACTGTTTACCTACACACATATACACACACTCTGTTTAAAGTGTTTAACAAAGGTAGACCAATATTTGTAAGTCCGAGGTCAAATTTTGATCACAGCTCATAAAATTTTGTTTATTATACTTGTTGAATGACTCATGATTGGACAACGTTTTTAAAAAGAAGTGATGTTCCTTTTATATATAACCCTCTGTTATGTGAATTTCGATTAATTTCCCTGAAGAAGTTCGGACCAGATTGCCGAACACAGGAAACGTTGGAATTACTCATTTCAATCTCGCTGAGATTTTACAAATATAATTTTTTACAAATGTCACAAAGAAGTAGTTTAAAATATCAATGACCAAAAAGACTAAATCTACAACCATAAACAATTCATGAAGAATGGAGTTATTTTTAAGCTATGTAGATTTTTCTATCAATAGACAGACATCCTGTAGAAAAGATTATGGATTCATTGTTTGACAAACTGGTAACGAAAATAGACAGAAAATTCCAATATTGAATCATCGAAAAAGACGTAAAAGCGAACAGCATTTTTTGTAAGGAATCATTTTTTAAAATCTGTACAGTCTTACCACCAATATTGAACAGATAATTTCTAGAACTAATAAAACACTGGTGAGTGAGTTCCAGAAAATGTACAGTATCGATAAACCCGAGTATCCTAAAGCTTTTGAGAGAACCTTCGTCAAAATCACACATACACAAATTCAAAGACATTACGTCACACACTAAATCATGTCGATGCTAGACGCTCCCGTCTGCTTGAAGAAAACATCTCAAACAACTCATGCACTGTAAAAGCTATACACAGGAGCCTCACATTTATATGTTTTACACTACTCAAATGTACCACAGACTCTCATTGAAATCCAAGTCCTATCCACTTCGTCCAAAATTCTACAGTGTATCCAACTAAATCAATAAACTGCAAATGAAAGTCCATTCTGAGAATGTAGTCTCCCAGAGAATTCACTTATTGCAGAATTCTGGAATAGATCTTGAACAGTTCCATGCTACGAGTGCATACACACACAGAACTTAGTCGTCGTTATCTCTTAATGAAAGAAAGCAACTTGCAGAACTCTAAAACAATAAGGACATAATGCTCGTTCGTACAGACAAAGGCAATGGAGCTTCAGAGTTCACTACTGTATCAAATTCCGGATTAGAAACTAGGGAATAAGACATGGTATATTAATATATGTGTAAAACTTGGGCACTGTGGTAGTAAGTAATTTCAAATAAGTTTGCTTATTAGATACATCACACAGTGAAACAGTATTATTTACAGTAAACAATACTGTTTCACTGTGTGATACATCTAATAAACAAACTAATGGGGATAAGACATGGCCACTGTTCTTTTTCCCTCATAATTTTGTGTATTATCTCTCTCTTTTTTGAATCTCTTTTTACTCTCTCCTCTTGCTCTATGTGCTACATGGAGTGTGACAACTCGAAATGCTGCACATATGTGCGAAGTTCTACATTGTAACCAGTCAGTCAAGATAAGTTGTCATTTCCGCATAGGACATAACAGACTTATTTAGTGACAGCACCACCACTTTGGTTTGAAAAACACTTTTTACATTGTAGTGTTTAGGAAAACAATACATCTTCTTAGTGAATGATTTCCTTAGGTAGCCAGCATACATGTTTGTTCTTCTCGATAACACAAAACTTGATTTAAGAGAAACGTTAAATTTCCAACGATTGTATACCATTACAAAGTTTTCTTAAAACAAACAACATAAATAAAAAAAGTAAAATTTATTGAATGTATAAATCCCAAAAAATCACTTCAGTCGCCTACTAAACACGATTTTAGTTAACAATTATGTAGTACATAAAATGGCATTAATTCATTCATACCTGACGTAAAACATACACTTGATGTCGGTTTAAAGTTGGCAATAACTCTACAACTGACTGTGAACAAAGAGTGATATGAGTCATCAGTTGGCCAAGATCACTGACATCCATTAACGTCGAATGTACACCTACAGAAGAGAGAACATTAAAAACTAAATATATATCACAATTTTGCTGTATGGGCTTCAGTTTCAATCAGGGTTTTTTTCCGTCGGACTTATAGTTATTGTTTAATTTTACTCGTCAATAATTTTCATTTACTGATGATATTACATATCAGATAAACACACTGATATGGAATTACATGCTACAACAGTATTCAAAAAATATGTATATTAGATGGTTGGAGGCAATCCGCAGGAAGCCTAGGACACCATCTGTGTTTCCTGCTAGTTGGCAATGTCAGCAAGGCGTATCTGCAGCCTTGGAGCAACTTATATGCCTTCTGCGATTCCAACCCACGTCACCCAGTGCCGCCTGCAGTCAGAGACGTTACCACTGAGCTATTCGTGCTCGCGATTGACCTCCTGTATGACTGTATTGGATACTTTGACTGGACACTAGCAACTAGTGGTGACCACATTGCAAACGTGACTGATAGAATTCAGTCTGCACCAAAGAAAGGACTAGACACATCACACTAGTTACTAGTGTCAAATCAAAGTATCCAATACAGTCCTACAGGAGGTCAATCGCGAGCTTGAAGAGCTCAGTAGTAACGTCTCTGACTGCAGGCGGCACTGGGCGACGCTGGTTTGAATCTCAGGAGGGACATGAGTTCCTTCAAGGTTGCAGATATGCCTTGTTGACTGGTGAGTGCCAACTAGCACGAAACCTAGGTGCAAGGCTTCCTGCCAATTGCCTCTAACTATCTAATATCATCAAATCAATGTGCATCGTGATGGTGAGCTACCTATAATGGTGGCCACATTGCAAACCTGACTGATAGAATTTAGTCTACACCAAAGTAAGGACTAGACACATCACACTAATTTCTAGTGTCCAATATATATATATATATATATATATATATATATATATATATAACGCGACTTTCACCCTTATATGGCTTGTGAGATTCTGTACTGCGCACAGTAGAATAGGAGGCGATAATACCCTGGGCTCATACTCTGTAAAACTTGCTGTTCTTGCTGTACTATTATACAAAATTACTAATTCACTCAGAATGGACGAGTATAAAGTGGAGTGATGAGGTCCTAAGGCACTTCATAACATTCATAACAAAGTATATTCCGTGACAGTATTTCAACCTGAATACTGAATAAACTGAATAGATCATACTCTGTGCTGATTGTAGTCCGTCTATCACAGTACACAGATTCATACATCAAAGTGGATACAGATTCACGCGAATATTTGTTTACAGTTTGCAAGAAAACCTTATTATGAAGGCACCTATACGACTCACTGTTTTAATGGTCTTAATATAAAACGATTTAACATGAGTCATTGCCCTTGAATGTTTCGATTTAATAATGTTAAACATTCCATGTACAATAAGTTTTCCTTTACACCAACATATATAATTACTTTTTACGCAAAGAATCCTAAGTTCGTGCAGTACACCTTGCATGACACCAAACTAAAATTAATAGATCAAACTGAACCAACTTAATAATAACTTAAATAAGCGTCTTACCAGGCTCTGACGCTATTTTGTGCTTCTCTATTGTGCTGGTAATACGCAAATCCTCAGAGTCCGTAGTTCAGACATAATAGCCAGATGAATCCTTAAATCTTTTATTCTATTGAAATATGTTGTTCCCAAGTATAAGTTTGTAGGGATTTGATTGTTTGGTTACAGGATTTCATCATGAGCTGAAATCGGTTAGAGAACCATTGGAAAACCTAAGAATACTGGACAGATGTTTCGCCCCAATTTGGGACTCTTCGCAGTAAGCACCGGCGGTCGCACCAATGCATCGGTGGCACAACGGTTAGGCCGCTCGCCAACTATGCACATGGTCCGGGGTTCGATCCCCGGCCGACGGACTCCTTTACCTCGCTAAGCCAGTAATAAGACTGGTAAAGAGGGAAGGTTGGGCATGAGACCAGCAACCCCATCCCATAAAAATAAACTCTGCTACAGAAACTTCAAGCCTCTAGCCTGAAGCCCTATGTTCCACTGGGAACGTGAAGGAATAAAAAAACGGATCAAAACGAGGACCTTCTGATTACAAGGCGAGCTCGTAGACCATTATGCCACTGGGACCCGATCCAGTGACCAGTCCATGAATTCTAACGTCTGCAAATTCAAGATATAGAGTGACCAATCAAACAGAATCCCTACGAAACCAATACTTGAAAATTAATCTGATACTCACTATCGACCGGCCCTATTCAGGTTGGTAGTTACCAGGGTTTCTAGTGGGAAGTCGTGACTAGCAAGGTACAGCAGGCTGGAGGTGAGGACAGTCGCTCATAGATAAAGACACTGCGAAGTGGTCGCGCTACGTCGTGAATTGGTTGAAGTTAGAATTCATGGTCTGGCCATTGGATTGGATCCCAGAGGCTTAATGGTCTACGAGCTCGCTAGCCTTGTAACCAGAAGGTCCTGGGTTCGAAAGCCGGTCGGTGGGTGCGTACTGATGAAGAGTTCCAAACTAGGACGAAACAGTTGTCCAGTAGTCTCAGGTTTTCCAATGGTTCTTTAACTGATGTCAGCTCATGATGAAATCCTCCAACCCAATAGGTTGTTCATCAGAGCATATTTCTAAATAACTGTGTCTTGCGTTTTTTTCTTTTCACCAATATTTGCAGGTTATGTAGTGTACTGATTAAATGGGTGATTAAGTAGGTCGCGTTTAATAAGGCTGGTACATAGGCAACATACCGATAACACAACCAGTAGCCTACATTCGAATCCTCTCCGTATAATAGCTAATACTGTCCAATAGCTATGTGCCTACCTATATACGTATTAATAAACCTAACTAATTAGTTAAGTAATAAACTAACACATATTAGTATACACAAAGCAATTAACACAGTTTCGCTATGTGTTTTGAAAATAAACAAAATAAGTAACAAAATGATACAAAGCTTACCTTTTTTGAATAATGTATAATTACGAAACGATGAAGCATGTTTATCAGCCCATTTTTTCTCCAGAAATGTGACCAATTTTGTATATCCTTTCACAACGCTAGTTAGCGTTTTCACAATATACTTTTTAGGCATTTTATGATAATCGTTGGTAGCTAATACCACCACACATAGACGATCAGTTAGTTTATTTATCAGTTAAACAACATTGAAAATTTGAGCCAGTTTACAAGGAAGCTAGAAGATAGTTGGGGAAACAAAAAAAGAAACTATGTTGAATATTCAAAGAATTGTGTCACAATCCATGATGTGATGTTTTACAATATGGACTTCGGAATTAACAACCAATTCCAAAAACAACAAACTGATCAAGTTCACGTCTGACTATTAGTCGTATTTTTTTCAGTTCAAGTGTCACTGTTAGTAATTATTTCCCGATCGATAACTGCTGCCTTGCATAAGACAATGATTCAACGAGTTATGATCACTGGGATGAATGTTTCTACAGGTTCCAGTATTCCACAAAAGTTGGCTGGGTAACTGTGTTAGACTTAAATCATTTGCTATCACAGTGTAAGCTGCTTACACTACCACGTCTAAACAGACCAAATGTCGGCGGTAGCCACCTTCTAGGCTGTACCGGAACGCATAACTAATCCTCTTCCTGTAGTATAATAGAAGGAGAAATCAAATTACACAGTGTAGGAGCAACTGCCATAACCATAGAAATCCCTACTGTTCGTCGTCTGTTCTTTTCATCTTCTTGATTTCTGTCTACTGCTAACAGTTTCTTCAATTTGCCTTAACTCTGTGACTGCTGCCAGCGACTTAAGCCAGAAAAAACCACCAACCCTGTTCATCTGAAACTATGCCACCAACTTTATTTTGAAGCTTCTAACCTATGGAGCTAATGTTCAATCAGACAACAGGTCACATTACCCAAAACTCGTAAAATACCTCAGTATACTTATAGTGGTCAAGTTATTCACCTCACCTGACTAACATTATGAATCTATAAAATCCAACATAAGGATTTCAGGAGATGCTTTATCAAGCCCGTGTGTACTCTCTGGTATACGGATACCACGAAGTCCAAGAGCAAAAAACTCACTGCTCTGTTGGATTCTAGTGGACAGTCATCTGCGTTGTCCGGCTCAAAGGATTTACAAGAATCAAAAAAGGTCAATGATAGGAAAACTGGGATTCAGTTACAGCAGGTGATATCAATGCTGAGGAAAAGAAGTCGAGGCAATTGAAACAGTTTATCGGTAATATTCATGGAGTCCATGTCTAAGAGGCAAAGACGGTGACCACCTATTGGTATTTTTTTACAAATAACTATCTGGTAAGTGGATTTCTGTAACCACGTCAAAACTTGATCGAAGCAATGAAACTCATCCAAGTGAGCTAAAAACATGACGAAGAGAGAAAGATCCTCGAACATAAGCTGACTAAAAGTCTCCACAATTATTGCAGATAAAGGTGGGTGACAAGAGGCAAAGAGATCGGTACTAGCTCATTATCGTCAACTATTTAGGTTTATTCAAAACCAGGTCCTAAAACATCTATGCGACCCAAGCGATTTAGGAGTAGAATGGAACTTTCAAAATTTTGCAGAAAAGGCAGCTGGAAGATGGGCAGAATGAATCAGATAATCGCAACTAATCTACACTTACTTGACATCTACAGTTAGTGTGAGTAGGGCGCAAACAACTGTAGCTCAGATTACTCAGTTGTCACTAATCTCAAACGAAACAAACTATCAGAAGCTGATAGCTTGACTCCATATATATTTAAGAATGGATGGGATGGATTAATAACGAAATCGACTTGGTTGATAGTCATTAGAGTGGTGGGGGTAGTTGATCCTTCTGGATTAGATAAAAGAGAATAAATCTTCCCATAATAACCACAAAGGAATCACCTAGATTAATATTGTATTTTGTATCCAAAGTTTCATAACCATGACAAAATTAAGTGGAGTAGAGTTGGGAAAGTGAGTGAACCAGACAGCTTTTAGACTCGGATGAAGGTAAATTGATTAAATATTCACTCTTCGACAGATGCTCGAGCACTCAAACTGCAGCATTTCACTCCATCGATCAACAGTTGTTATAGTAATGTTCGGCTATGGGAGTCATGAAGACGTCACTATAATCGAAATCACCCAACCGCGTAAGAGTTTATAGACCAAGTGGAAAACACTCATAATGCGTCTCCTCCTATCCTAACAGAAAGTTACTATCTGGAGTGATGATAACCAGTGATGTCTGTCAGGGGTGTCAGTTGTATCATACTAATCTAATCCCATCATAAATATACCGGAGTCTGTGCCCAGTCCTACTTTGTGGACAGAGGGTGAGACAACTGAATGTATCCAACACTGAGCTTAGTTAGAGGGTTTTATCACGCTTAATCAACTGGTTGCTAACGTAATATTGCTACGAATTCACCAACTTGCTCAGGTGTTATACCTGGCTAACTATCTCACATTCGTTTATTGTCTCCTTTACAGTTATAGAAGAGACAGACACTTTAGGCTGATTATATAAATAGATAAGACTTTATACCATAGGTGCCTTTTTTTAAGTTGCTCAGGTATATGCGTATATATATATATATATATGGGTACGGCTGAAGGTGGTTAGACTCCGGTTTTCGTCTCGAAATGCTCTCATGTGACTTCTGCCAGATAAGTCCTACCACTGTCTTCACGCGACGAGGGTGTTCCTCACAGAAGTGCGAACGTCTGGAGCTTACAACCTGAATGGTAAGAATGCAGGACTCCCTACGGGTGCTGAAAAATCTTGGTTCCAAATATACGGAGTGCATGGGCTCCAGAATCCTGATGAATCTGTTTCGGCCACCATCAACCATGGGAATGTAGCTCTTTGCGCTGCCTTGTGGATCGGTCTTCAAGTCAAAAGTTCGAGGAGTGACCCCTTAAGACAACCACTAGCTTAGGTCTGAGCGTCCATGCAGTATCCCAGCCCTCACACAAACTATCAGACTTTGTGTGGTGCTCATACTGTACCAAGATTGTATTTTAATAATGATAATAATAACTTTGACATAAGTCTGTAACAATTTAGATCATAAACAATTCAATCAGATTTACCTTCTTCCATGTTAGAAGTTATGTGAAGATAACTGACTGACTGACTGACTGACTGACTGACTGACTGACTGACTGACTGACTGACTGACTGACTGACTGACTGACTGACTGACTGACTGACTGACTGACTGATTGAATGGTTTCAACGTAGAACGTTTCACAGGTGTGCAGCAGTTTGAGTTGTCACACTCCACTCCATGTAGCACATAAAGTAAAAGACAGTAGAGAGAGAGATTCAAAAGAAAGAGAGATAATACACAAAGGTATGAGGAAAAAAGAACAGTAATATGGAAGAACAGCAGAAACTGATTTGATATCATAAATCACAAAGAGTGAATGCGTCTGCACCAGCCATTGAGAACGATTTTGAGCCATGTCACCAACTGCCTCCAGTCACTGGTCTTTAATATCCCGAGGACTCCGACCAGTCAGGACGTCTACACCTCCGTACGTGACTGGTTGGCTTAAACTAACTGTTGTGGATTTATTTCATTGACTGATGAAGCCATGTTTTGGTTTGACCACCACTAGCTAACTCTTTTCCAACCTGATCTATCCTATGTCAGCTAAGAAATTACCGTGGAGGCAAGCGATGGCTAGGCATGCATGCGTAACACATGTCCTAACCATCTCAATCAGTGTAACTTCACAACCTTGTCGATTGATTTCCCCTCCTTACCACCCTATTATACCACTTAACACGGGAGATAGAACGCAGGAACCTGTAATCAAAGACAGCTGGCCTTTTTATATCTTCCACTTTCAGTGGGCATGTTTCACAGTCATAAAGGAGGACGGAGAGAACTGCTGAGCAGTTTACACGTCGTTTGGTCAACAGTCGGATGTGATATCCGACCGTCTACGCCAGAAATGGAGTAAGTTGGCACTTTGTTTCAATAATAATAACTTTTAAAAACTTGAACCAAAAACATAACAGAGTTTCATTCACATAAGACAAAAGCAACACATCAAAAAGGGAAATACTTTATTTTACACTTTGAATAATAATGAAAATCAGATATATACATAAATAATACGATTGCAAAGCAGGTAGGTGTGTAAAATTCATTCAAAGAAATTCCTATGCAAGCAAAATAAAAATAAGTATTATTCAATATTATGATTTTAAAGTTTCCATTGCTTTTTGTATCAATAATCTTTTACGATGTTTAGCAGTTCGTTTTTGATGTGCTTTACTTTTTAAATGAGCTTCCCAGCCATCCTTTTGTGTAAATATTCGACCTGAACATACTGAACAGATGAATGGTGATTGAATATCATCCGGAGTAGAAGGAGACTTGACCAGAGAAAATGGTTCTGGTGTAGGACAACAATTTTCAGGGCAAATATCAAGTAAACTTTGTATAGAATCGGTGTTTTTCAGGTCCTCAATAAAGGCAGAATCACCTATTTTCTTTAATTCATTATAGATTAGTCGGACAACTGGTGCAACAATTGAATTATTCCAAATATCTATCGATCCAGATTGTAGAAAAGCTGTCACGTCTATACGATAGACAGGAATACCACCTTCAACAGGTCGCCTTAGAAACCGATTTCTAATCCAAGAAACCTGAGGAGATAAATATTAGAAAACAGAAATTTCGTCTAATATACGTGGCACAAAAGCGTTCCCCAAATAAGGAGAAAAGAGAAAAACACTGAGTGACAGATTAATATAGAACTTTGTACGAGGGTGTATCAAGCTTACCTTCTAGATATTTGAAACACCACAAGAAAAAGAAACGAACACAAATAGAATGATATTACAAAGAAAAACAGACTATGTCAGAGCTCAGTATGATTTTTCACATGAGATTACTGGACGAACTAAGGTGTCGGTCATCGGTGGCTGGCATACAAACGCAAAAACAGTACGAGAGAGTCAAACCCAGATCACTTACACAGGGTTTATTTTAAATCATTTGCAACCGGTAGCTTCCAAAGTTTACCGATGTGTACACACGTATGTTAAACTACTTCGAGCAATTTTTTTCCTTCACAATCCCCAGTGAAACATAGGGCTCCAAGCTAGTGGCTTGAAGTTTCTGTAGCAGTGTTCATTTTTACAGGATGAGGTTGCTAGCCTCATGCCCAACCTTTCCTCTTCACCAGCATTATTTCTGGCGTAGCGAAGTAAAGGAGTGCGTTGGCCGGGGATTGAACCCCGGACCATGTGCATGGTTGGCGAGCATCCTAACCGCTATGCCACCAACGCACTACTTCGAGCAACACCCAGAGATAATCAAGAAAGATTATATTGAAGGGGACGAGTGACTGATAGATCCGTGAGATATCTTCTACAATTAATTATTCAAAATGATCAAACAATTTGTCCGATCAGCAAGTTGATCACCTCCCACTTTCATACACCACTTTACCAAACATTCACAACCGCAACCAGCATTTTTACTTTGACATTATTTGGAGTACTGAAGTGACACCACGTCAATTACTCTGAAGTTCGATAGTGCAGGCTCAGTGATATATAGGCCTAATTTTCTACATGTCATTTTTACATGTCTCTCACCCAACTTATTGATTTATGACCAAATTTTCTCTCACGCTACTTATGACCTTTGAAATCCTATTGGTTGTCCACTGTCTTGATTTATCAATGACATTATTGCTTCTCAAGGTCATTTTAAACATATGTATATATACTCAAGCGCTATCAACCCTTTTTTGACTGTTGTTTTGAGACAGTAAAAGCTCCCTTACCTACGTCTAGTCTTTTCTTCTGTCTTCTATGGCCCGGCAGTATTATTGTTGTTGTTGACGTGCGATTAGGACAGATTAGCCAGTGCATCAAGTTACTATTCGCTCACAGTCATAACACTCAGGTAAAACGGTGAACCTTTTTATCACGTGATATTATCTTGAGACACAGCGGCTTCCATGATTTTTACTATCTGTTAACCTTGGAACCATTAGGAAATGGTTAACCCACGAAGTGGTGCGTAGGATGAAGGATAGTTATGCTGAGCGTCATCCTCTGGACTGAGCGGTCAGGTGGCTGAATGACCTTAGACATTACTAGGATAAAAATAAGTGGTGAATATACTGCAGTTTTCCTTTTCTACTACGGAAAGTAGTAATGCATAACGAATGTAATTAATAAGCACATTCAACTAAATTCTAGATTTTCCCGTCGATTGATTGGATCGAAGTGCTCGGTCTCAGGTTGACATGTCGGCTTCTTGTGCAGATGCTTCGACGATGTCTGGGCATTTAATTAGAATTTAATTGGTGGATGGTGAGTAACAGTGGAATCCAGGATGAGCACTTCGTCCTAGTTGGGACTCGTCCTCTGGGAAATGCAGGTACATCCAGTGACGAGTCCCAACTAGGACGAAATGTGCATGCTGGATTCCACTGCTAGTTACCATCCACCAATTAAATAAGCACATTTGCCTAATTCATTGTTGTCCCACCAACTATTGCTCACTTTTGGCTTTATCGTGTTTTTCAACTACATTGTGTAGGGCTTCTTTGGCACTCACACCGTACCATCTTGGTGTAGACCTTTTGGCTGAGGTCTTTGAGATGCCAAGAATCAACGACTGCAGACTGGTGGTGATACGGCTCAAAATCGCTCTCAGTGAGGCACGTGCATTCATGCTTTGTAATTTCCACTGTATCCTTATTATTCTCCACCTAATTATTACTTCCCTCGTAAGTTTCCGTTTATTATGGTTTCTTATCATTTCTGTACTTCTTTTTTCCTACCTTTACGAGGGATTACGAAGTGCAGTAACTTGAACTGCTTTACTTTTATGCATCCATCTCTAAGTTGAAAATTCAGTTTCAATCAGTCCAATATTAAATAAGAAAACTAAGGCTGAAAATGTGTATGCAAATATGCTAAATACAACCCCCCCCCCCCCCAAAAAAAAAACACTAACGAAAAACGGATATCTTCGTCTATTAAAACATGTAAAGTAGATGAGTACGGAAATCGAAATAAATCTGCTCACCTGACGGCGTGCATACTGACGAGTTGATGATTTAACACTCTCTACTGCTTGATTCAATAAAATGTTAGCTTCCGGGCTATCACGTTCATTTGGTAACAAAGCCAAATAATCTGAAAACTCTTTAAAGCCAATACTCTGAAGGACACCACGACGAACTGAAGGATCTGAAACAGTCTCCAAGTCTTCAGAAAACAAATTCTTCAACTTTTCCACTCGAATCTGTTTGTCGTCATCTGATTAAAATATAGAAGAAAAAATTATGGATGTACACATGCTGCTGACAAAATAATTTTTTACGGCTAGATAACACTAGTGGTGTACTAAAGGATTAGGGGTTACTAGACCCCATATCAAAACACTCAGACTTTCTTTCACTTGGTTCTCCAAGAGACCAGATTCGTTTTTGATTTGAGCCAAGAGAAAGTGAACTCAAGCAAAAAAGAACGGAGCCTTCGGAATACGGAATAAACTAGCCATGAAGAGTAGTCCAACCGTTACAGAAGTTCATTTAAATCTTATCATACTCAGTAATGCACTTAATCGTTTACATACATTTTTTTTTATTCCTTCACGTCCCCAGTGGAATATAGGCCTTCAAGCGAGAAGTTTGAAGTTTCGGTAGCAGCGGTGTTTATTTTTACAAGATGGGGTTACTAGCCTCGTGTCCAACCCCTCCCTTCTTTACCAGTCTTATTACTGGCTTAGCGAGGTAAAGGAGTGCGTCGGCCGGGGATCGAACCCCGTACCACATGCGTGGTCGGCGAGCATTCTACCGCTGTGCCACCACCAACGCACAACATACATAATAACAACAATTCATAACACGCAAATAATAGTTAAATGAGAATGATGAGAATTAAAGGACCTCAGTTATTTATAGTTTTAAACAGTTGAATCTCGTGAAATTGAATCGTTAAACAGGAGGTTAACTGTTCCAGTATGACTGTGATTATTACTTTATGTTGAACTTTTATAATCATATTAGGAACAATATCCTACTCTATCAGATAAAGTTAGACTGGTCTGTTGAATTGAAATTTAAGTAATCTTTTCCAATTGCAGAAGTCTACCATGTTTGCACATTTGAGATATGAGCGTGCGTGCATGGTTAACTCACCATATCATCAAATCACGAAGTGGCTAGCTGATATCCTTGAACCAGTAAGGAGACATATGACAAAATATAGCCTCAGTGATATATTTGACTTCATCGACTCAGTGAAGGATGTCAACGTGTTTGAAAGACAAATGCTCTCACTAGATGTCGCCTCTCTATTCACAAGCACCCCCCCTGACCGAAACAATATGCTTCATTTGTAATTACATCGAAACCAACAACCTAGAAGTTCCTCTTCCCATCAACTATCTCAAGGAACTACTTCTCAGATGTACGTTTAATATCCAGTTCTATGTACAGAAGATGGGGTAGCCATGGGGTCTCCTCTCGGTCCACTCCTAGCCGACTGCTTCATGGCGAGTCTCGAAAACAACATCCTCGATCCCTTGATAAGCCAACTGCACTTATACAGGAGATACGTAGATGATACGTTCATAATTTGTGATGAAAAATCTGATTTAGATTCTCTCCTCAAAACCTTCAACGCAGCGCACCCATCAATAAGATTCACCTTAGAACGTGAATCGAACAACGCATTCCCATTCCTCGATGTACTACTTACCAGAAGACACGACTGTACGATCCACAGATCGATATATCGCAAGCCAACATGGATGGGACAGTTTATCAACTTCCAGAGCTTCGTCCCACTGATCCGAAAGCGAAACCTGGTACGTACATTAAGTTCAAGGATTAGAAAAATCTGTTCGGAAGACATGGTAGAGAAAGAATTAAATTTATTACGTGAAACCCCACCAACATTCATCGACAAAAACATGAAAGAGAAGCCTCCGTCGCCAAATATCGCAACGGCTCCTATGAAAACTCTCTTCATGAACCTGGAATTCAAAGGTGACATCGCAGCGGCACTTCTCAGAAACCGCCTTTCTAAATGTCTGAAGAAGACATTTCCAACAGCCACCTTACGTATCACATTCTCCAGCAGACAGTTAATCCAGTCTAACGTTAAGGATAAGATACCGCTTTTGGCCACTTCAATGTGTATTTATCAATTTACTTGCTCGTGTGGAGCAAAGTACATCGGCCGTACACAACGTCAAGTTCACAAACGTATTCTGGGACACTGTCCAGCTTGGTCAGCTAGAGGAGAAAAGAAGAATAGTAGCAGCTCTATCCTCAAACACCTTGTCATCTCCGGACATCGAGCACCCCCACATGAATGCTTCACAGTGCTACACAGAGTCCCTCAATATCGTACAAAGGGACTTCGCATACGCCATCTGTACATAGCTGAAGCATAAGCTATTCGGGATCTGAAACCGGACCTCTGCATTCAAAAGCGATACATACATTCTCTCGCCCTACCGTGACCAGAGTAAAGTTCTTACTATAATTTTGCTTCTTTCTTTTTTATTATGTAAGTTCACTATTATTATTGTTATTACTACTATTATTTTACTATCATTATTATTCCCATCATCCATATTTTATTACCACTCTATTACTGTTTATTAATAACATTGCTTTTTCATACAGATTTTATATAAAAACACTCTATCGCCTTTCCACTAGTCCCTGTCCATTCTACACGAGCTTATTGATTAGTCATTATCTCACACTTATTACGTCATGCCAACTTCTGCCTCTTTTCTAACTTACAATTAGTCATCCCTTCTTACACCTTACAACATTTTTCAAGGACAAAGTTTACCAGTATCTGAATGGTCTAAAGATTTCTTTGTTTAATATAATTACGATTGTACAGCTCATGAAAATGAATCGTCGAGAAGAAAATTTTCCTCGCTGTTTGTGCCTTTTTCTTGTGACTCAATATGGGAATATTTCGTTCATTGAAGAACTTATCATTACACCTAAAGACCAGTCAGTACCTCATAGACTTAGGGAATTTCACAATGTGTAATAAACATAAGCAAATACTATTTCTTACCACAATTGTCAGTTATTTCAGTTTCAGTACATTTTGATGTTGAAGACATATTCGCCAGTTTCGCTTCCTTAAGAAACGAGTCTAATTCACCAATCAATCCCGATTCTAACATCATATCCACTCGTTTATTTAAATGGGTATTCAAGACATCAGAAGCACAATCTAACCACAGTATAAGAGATTGTCCAGGATATCGTGGTATAACAGAACGATTTGGAACATCTTTTTTAGCATTCATGTCTTCAGTCTTCGTGTCATCAGTCGATTCACCTTCACTTTCTGATAAAACATCCAGAAGAGCCTTTTTTACTTTACGAACATTATTTGGATGCAGGTGAGCTGCTAGACTGGGTCTCAGTTTAGACAGGAGATCATAACATTCTTTTGGATCGTCAAATGAAATTTCTCTAAAACAGTAAAACCCAAAAAAGAGAAAAAATATTGTTAAATGAATCTGGAAATCCACGTCATATAAAACCTGCATATTAAGTCACTGATTGATTTAGAATGTCGAACTCTTGTTAAATGTGATTCAGTTCAAGTTGCCAACCACTTCGAAATAGCACGCATAAAAGTGGAGAAAAAGACGTAATGAAACTACAATAGACGAAGATGTACAAGAAAATGAAGATCAATGAGCATTCCTAGAACCTGGAAGATCGTTAAGAACAAATACCTACGTTAATGGATGACTTTAGTTTGAGTTGCGTACGTAAATGAAACACACTTTTAGCTATCGAAACATGGGCAAAAAAAAACATTAAAATCTTCAGTTGACATGAATGTGTACCTGTGAATTCAAATCCCTCTTTTTATATTAAAACCTGAAAAATCCCAACACTTTTTACATTTCAGATTTAGTCATGTCTTCTTTGTTTATTTCAACATCTTATTTTGTTTAAATTCCTGTTTCTCTATTGCTGGTAACTATGGGGAATACAAATCATACTGATTCTACCTATTGACTAAGTTTTTAAAAGGATTCAGTGTCTGACTAAAACATGAAGATAAAGCATAATGTTAATTGATATTCACACATATGCACGTTGTCATTCCATAAATATGTGATGACGATCAAGATAATATAGGAGAAACTGTGTTATGATAGGGCACATTTTAAAGGTCCCTAACTTACTAAATGAACTAGGTGTATCAAGAAGTATCCACATTATCACAAACTAACCGTGTTTGATGGTGCTTGATGAAAATCTGTTTAAAATTCAGATGGAAAATAAAGGATAAATCTACTAATTTACAAAATCAAAGATTATTATTCCCTTGCGTTCCGAGTGAAACATAAGGCTTCAACAACACATATCCACTTTGTTCTGTTTTCTTTCATCCACGACTGCCCAAACTCTCTCATCTCTTCCTAACAAGATCTCCTTCATGTCACCCACGACGACCCACTCGTCGTTTCCCAACGGGATTCCATTCGAGGGCCTGGCGCGCGATGTCATTCCGCGGACTCCTCAATGTGTGTCCGATCCATCTCCATTTTCTCCTACATATTTGTTGAGCAATCGGCTCTTGATTGGTTTGTTTCCATAGTTTCTTGTTGCTTATTCTTCCTGGCCATTTGATCTTCAATATGGAGCTACCGAAGGCAGCTGCTGATGAAAGTCTACAACCTGTTGGAAGTCTTTTTCGTGACACACTCGCTGTACAAGTTTTTGACCAGTGTAGAAGAACCGGCTTCACACTGGTGTTGAAACTTTGTATCCAACAGGCTGCGTCTTCACTTCCTTGAGATTGACGTGAAATCTATTTGGTTTGTGGTATGTCTGTCAGGCAAAATCCATGTTGCTTTGTGTATATCCTTGTGTTTGTACACGCTCCCTCCGATCACCAAAGCGCTAAAAGAGCAGAAGTCTGCGGATAATTCTTCATTCTCATTCATTTCTCCGAGAGCCTCTCGATCCATGATGAGTTCTCTTCATGTATTATCTGCCCCCAGTTTGGCATTCATATCGCCCATAAGGATTTTGATGTCACCATTTGGGATGTTGTCCATTACTGTTTGTAGTTGTCTGTAAAAATCCCCCTTCTTTTCTTGCTCCGCGTTGTTTGTAGGTGCGTAGCATTGGATAATTGTTACCTCCCTTCCTTTGGAGTTGGATCTTGCTGTCATGATCCTGGATGAAATTGGTTCCAACTGCATTGGGGCTTTGGCTGCCCCTGGTGACATCATGATAGCCACTCACTGCCTCAGTGTATTCGTGGTTGTCGTCTGGGTGACCGGAGTAGATTATTGACTCTCCCGTTGACAATGTTGTCAATCCACATCCAATCCATCTGCTTTCGCAGATACCCAGTACTTCTAAGTCATTTCTTCGCATCTCTTTGGCTACCTGGGCAGCCTTCCCAGTCTCGTACATTGTATGGACATTCCACGTACCCATTCTTACTCTTGCTTTCATCGAGAGAAGACACATCGGCTGACTGGCTTCCCGAAGGCTTTCACCATCCCGCCGTTTCATTTCGCCTCTCCGATTCGAGCGAAGAATAAGATTTTTATTTGAAGTTCTTGTATTTTTAATATATTTTCTGTTTGTTGAAGTTTCTCTAGCGGTTTTAAAGATACCATATATAAAAGGACAACTAAGATAATATCAGTAAAAACCATACCTTTTAATTTTGTCCCGAGTATTAGACACGGTATACTTGGACGCCAAAAAATCTTTCCATAATACGGCTTCTAAGTAATAGTGTGTCCCACCAGCAAGGATAGCCAACTTTTTCTTTGCATTCCTCACATTCTCAATCACTGGTAGACAAATGTTTCGATAGGCATGAACATCGTATTTCTGTCCATTTTCCGGAGGGAAAATGTCTATAAGATGGTGTGGGATGCCCTGACATTCAGCAGGTGATACCTAGGCGAAACATAAGACATAAAGGTAAGTTATTCAACTTGCTAAAACAGAAGTTCTATGCTAACAACGAAAAATCACTGCGCTTAAAACAGACTAAAATGTGAAGAATTCCAGAAACAAGCTACATAACTTCATCTTAAAATCCAGTGACGTAAAATATAAGAATCGAACTTTACAAAACTGGCCACGTGTTTCCGGAAACCCGTACGGCTAAATTCTGCATCTCGTGTATCCCGTTACTTCTTTAAACACTAAAGCAATTATAAATCAGTTAAAATAATCCCAGTGTGTTTAAGAAAAAATCGAAACAAGATGTTTTCTGAACATTTCGCAATGTAAGTCACAGCTTCTTAGACAAAGTGATTCAGATATAATCCGAAAAATCTTGTTCAGATTTTTTTCTAAAACACGCTGGGATTATTTTAAATAATTTATAATGATTCAATCTAACTCAGCGCCCAAATTATTCCAGGAAACTCGTAACATATGCGGTCTGGATAATTATGACCTTAGCAAGGAAGTTAGTTTAGATATTGTGGGTACGAAGGCGAAGTGAAATTCCTGACAAACAACACCCAAGTGTTTTAGTTGCCCATAGTAAGTGACTTAACTCTTTAATGATAACATAAGGTAATATATCAAAAATAAATAATTACAAGACTTACAAATCGTCTTCATGACGTTCTAATCAGGAGAACGTATCTCATTAAGAAAAATTATCAAAATGAAAAAAGCGACGGTGACACAAAACATTTGGACTTTGTTGTCCACAGGGAAACTGTCTCGTGTTCTTTAAATGATCATTACCCTACCGATAGCCGCTACCTTGACGTGGTGGTCGGGCTTGCATATCGCAATGAGCCAACAAGCTACACTGGCTGCAACTAATGTTCCTGCAGGTCCTACCATGCCAGGAAGATTGTTACGATATCAATTACACTAAAAGCAGTTACCGGTATGGTGTAAGCTTTTCTTACACTATGCTGGGGATCTGTGGGCAAACTCGTACTGCTGGGGAAGAGGGATGTAACAGCCGCAGTAAGGTGTCTCCCTCAGATGACCAACATGCTAGCTATGCTGCCTCTCCACTCTGGAGGGAGGGGGTAAGGAAAGGTCAACCCCAAAAATTGTACATCCTGACCTGCCTTACAGTGGTAGCCGGCGGTAAGTTACTGATACGGAACCAATCCGAAAAGCCAGTTAGGAAAGACCATGTGTGACCTGACTGACTGGTTTCAACGTAGAACTTTGCACAGATGTGCAGCAGTTCGAGTCGCCACACTTCACTTAGTACACAAAGCAAGAGAAGAAAGTAAAAAGAAATGCAAAATAGAGACAGTAAACAGAGATATAAGGCAAAAAGAATAGTAATATGGAGGAACAATATAGTTTTATTGGATATCGTAAGTCACAAGAAGTGGATGCATCTGCGCCACTGAGAACGATTTTGAGCCATATCACCAATTGTCTCCAGCCATTGGTTTTTACCGTCCCGAGGGCCCCAACCAGGAAGTCTGCACCTTCCTACGTGGCTTAAACTAACTGTTGTATGTGACCGGCTTCAAGCAGTTGTCCGCTGGGCTCTGCGGTCACGCAACACTCTCATACTGTTTCAGGTACCCCAAGAGTAAATCAACTTCCACGTTGTGGGTAGCCGGGAAGTAACAACCACCCACACACTTCCAAAAGCACACGAAGCCCTCCTGATCACCATCCTCCCTTATCCCTGTCACCCTCATCATCTTGTTTTCCTCCTACTGTTAATACTATTCTGCAAGCTAGTCAGTCATCTTCATTTCATTCTGTAACCACAAATAACGATAAGAACAATTGAAACACCCTCGACAGCCTCTTAAAGCCACGCCGCCAACTTAATATTGGAGCATTCAATGTCAGGACCGTCTGCAAATCGGACAATAGGCATCACTAGCAAGAACTCTGGCATTTCCAGCCATGGATGTATGTTGTGTCTCGGAGACACACATACAAGACCCCAACCAGTCAACAAGGAGAATCTGCAAAATTCACCATAAGGGTGTCAGGAGACTCCTCAGCTAGTTCGCGAGAACTCGCAAGTGTAGGGATAGCATTGAGTGTTACGGTAGAAAAATCACTTCTTGACTGAATCCCAGTAGATAGTCATATGTGTGCAGTCCATCTGAACGGGTCCGTTAGAAGAAGGAAGGATGGTGTTACCCGTCGTTGTCTTTTCATAGTCTCCGCTTACGCCCCAACAGACTGCAGTTCAGATGAATTAATGGATGACTTCTACCAGAAACTGTCTGATTTGCTGCAAAAAGCAAAACATTCAGATATAGTTGTTTTAGCAGGCAACTTCAATGCCCAAGTAGGGAAGTTGTGCCAGATTGAGAAGTATATTGGCGGTACGTATAGAGTTCCCTGCCGACGAACCAACGACGGTGATCATCTTCTACAGTTCTGTTCAGATAATCATCCCTCCCTAGTCAGCACTAACTTTAGGCACAAAGAGAGACATTGCCTAACCTGGCGACCTCCATCACCAAATCAACGCTGAACTCAGATATACCACATAGCGATAAGGTATCGTTGATGAGGGTCAGTAGAAGACTACCGCTCTTTCTGGAACACGTGCATAGACTCCGATCACGCTCTGGTTCGCGCACGTTTATGCTTACGTCTAAACGGACATAAAAAATTGTTGGCAGAGAAGCAGTTACTTCCCCTACTAGACCAAAACACTGAGTCCCTATTTAAGGAAGAAATAGCGAAACGAGTATCTGAGGTCGACAGCAAGACTCCTCCTGAGGAAGCCTGGAACAACATACAGTTAGCTGTAGACAAACGTGTAAAGGCTGTTATTGACCTAAAACCAAAAGTTAGTAGGAGCCAGTGGATTTCTACTACCTCATCCGAACTGATTGACGCAAGAAGACTGATTCCAGCGAGCTCCGATTATGATGAGGAGCGAAAGCTACTCAAATGCAAACTAAAAAGAAGCCTTCGTAACGACCGTGAACAATGGTGGGCGACAAAAGCGAAAGAGATGGAAAAGGCATCGGCGATTGGTAACACCAGACAACTATTTAGACTTATCAGGGAAACAGGTGGTAAAAGGCAAACGATAAGTGAAACAATCTCTGAGAAAAATAGCACCGTAATTAGCTCCTAGGATAGACGACTGGAACACTGGAAAGAACACTTTGAGGAGGAGTTTAATTGGCCTACAGCCACTTCCAACTTACCGAACATCCAACACCTCCCTGAATGGGATATAAACACTGTTCCTCCGTCCCTAACAGAGGCTACAAAAGCTGTCACTAGTCTGAAACGAGGCAAAGCAGAGGCACCTGATGGAATGACTCCAGAGGTGCTTAAGGACGGTGAAGACAATGCACCGTCTGAGTTAACTAAGGTATTAGGCAGAGTCTGGGAATCAGAAATTGTCCCGTCGGGCTGGTGTAAGTTATTGATTATCCCGATATAAGTCTTCCTTTGATAATCACAGGGGGATTAACTTGACCAATATGGTATCTAAAGTTCTAGGCTTAATAATCAGGTGTCGAATATGTGGTGCTCGGGATAAACAAACACGAGAGAACCAGCCAGGCTTTAGACAAGGAACAGGATGTATTGATCATATCTTCTGCCTCCGACAGATTCTGTAACAGGCATACTTACTGGCATCCGACAACCGTCGTCTTTCTTGACCTGAAGGCGGCATTCGATTCCGTCGACCGAGAGGTACTATGGCGATGTTTGGCTGTGAAGGGAATGCTGAGAAAATGCATTGCATTGATCAAGGTGCTCTACTCGAAAGCATGCAGCCAGGTGAGAGCCTTCGGAGAGTTGTCATCTGAAGTGGTGACAACCAATGGTGTCCATCAGGGATACCCTGCCCACTGTCCCCATTTCTATTTAATTTCATCATAGATGTACTTAGTGAACTTAACCCTAACTCACTTCAGCGGCTCAGGAATTGACTTGTTATCAGGGAATAATCTCAATGACTTAGAATATGCATGCGGATGATATAGTCCTTCTAGGTGAAGACGCTGACAAAATGCAGTCTTTTGAATACCTTGAACAGCAACCTTCGAATGTTTGGCATGCAATTCACTCCCATCAAATGTAAGATTATACCACAGGACTGCACTACATCAACTCCCAGCTGGCTTAAAGATAGGCAGGAATGAAGTGGTAAAACGTGTTGACCGCTTCACTTATATGGGAAGTTGCATCAGCCAGTCCCAGCGGGTTGTTGGATGACGAAATCTCAACACGGATACAGAAGGCTAGTTTCGCAAATGGCAAATTACTCCATCTCTGGCGTAGACGGGCGGATATCACATTCGACTGTCGACCAAACGACGTGTTAAACTGTTCAGCAGTTCACTCCGTCTTCCTTTATGACTGTGAAACATGGCCACTGAAAGTGGAAGAAATGAAAAGGCCAGCTGCTTTGATCATAGGTTCCTGCGTTCTATCTCCCGCGTTAAGTGGTATAATAGGGTGTTAAGGCATCGGTCGATTGCTAGGTAAGGAGAGGAAATCGGTAGAAGAGGTTGTGAAGTTACACCGATTGAGATGGTTAGGACATGTGTTACGCATACCTAGCCATCGTCTCCCTCGACGGTGATTTCTTAGCTGACATAGGATAGATAAGGTTGGAAAAGAGTTAGCTAGTGGTGGTCAAACCAAAACATGGCTTCATCAGTCAATGAGGTAAATCCACAACAGTTAGTTTAAGCCAGCCAGGCACGTACGGAGGTCTAGACTGGCTTCCTAGTTGGGGTCCCCGGGATAGTAAAAACCAGTGGCTGGAGACAGTTGGCCGTGGAGATGCATTCATTCTTTGTGATTTATCATATCCAATAAAACTCTACTGTTCTTCTATATTACTGTTCTTTTTTCCTCATACTTCTGTGTATTATCTCTCTCTTTTGAATCTCTCTTTACTCTCTTTTCTTACTTTGTGTACTACATGAAGTGGAGTGTGGCAACTCGAACTGCTGCACATCTGTGCAAAGTTCTACGCTGAAACCAGCCAGTCCGTCAAATGATCATTAGTAAAGCATAGTTACATAGAAAAGTTATACCTACGAGTATTTTGACAAATAAATTACAAGATATTAGCTAAATAATTAAGCCCTAATATCTCCACTTAACACCAAAAGTTCTTTATTTTCCAGTCTCATAACATTATAGTTTTACTTTCACATTTTATGGAATATAAATTCCATTACTTTTTTAATGTGATAAGATTTACCAAGTACAAATCAAAATCGAAGCACTGCGAATAGCGCACTCACTTTATTTGTTGCAATTGTGAGGCCCCTATACAGCTGCAGTGCATCAAAGTTGATGACTTCACCATCGAAAACACTAGCGAGACTTATTGCTAACTTTGACTTTCCAGTGCCAGTAGCTCCGCACACAGCTATAACAGGAAGTTGGCATGAGGAACTAGGTAAAATAGACTGCTGAAACATACGAAAGAATAACAATCTATGGATTAAAATAATTATTCCAAAAAATGACATCTTACCGTGAACTACTGGCTAGAATAAACAGACGAAACATGTACAACAAATATAGTCCAGATGATAATCACGATTACATTAGAAAACTAGTCAGGAGTGAAGTGACAATACATCTAATGAAGAAATCAAATTGTTAGCATAAGAGAATTATTCTGATAGCATCATTAAAGCAAAATGGACAGAATCATACAGTTAAGTAAGAGTGTTTAAAGTTCAGTAATCCTTAATGTTTTAATAGCAAGGCCATAGAATTTTGTCGTTCTTGAGAGGCAGGTTAGATGGACGTACCTGTTATCGTTAGAGAACAAGAACACTCATGAAAAGCTTATGAATACTACCAAAGACAGAGAAATAACACAGCTTTCAAAACCTTCGACAATTATTCTCCTTCCTACCAAATCTTTCAAAGAACCATCTGCACTACCCATCAGATAGCTATCTGAATTGGATTCTAAAATTTTAGAATCTTAAGGTTCAAAATTATTAATTCGGCTGAGCTGCGACATAGCTGTGGCTTTTGTCATTAGTATGTCACACAGAAAGATTGTCACAATAGACAGCGAGTGATCCACAGCCACAATGAACCGCTTTAGAAGGAAACAGCACAGTAAACTAAAGTTACTACAGAAAATGAACATTCTAATTGTGTCCACAGTCGACGAATGAGAAACAAATGAGAATCATCCCTCTCACTTCACATTTAACTAAAGAAATGACTTTAAGAAGACAGGTGAGCACCGTGAAATAATAACTACGAGTAATTAGCAGATCTAGCTTTTATCACATTTCTTCTCCTTTAGAACTCGCGGCTGTCCCTCAATTACTAAAACATAATACCAAGCCAAGAAGGCATGTGACCTAAATGAAAGATACACAGGCACACATCGTAAACACAACCGTGTTAACTCTGACCAGAGTTCTTGAAATGAACTTGGAGTTGATTCAGCGACTAAAATCGAATAATTAAGTGAACTGTCAAAAAACAGTATCTTTAGCCATCCTCACAACTCTTAGTTGCATACAACTTGTAAACCTTAAATTCAATAGTCAGAAGGCGGTGGAAGACTTGGGTTATACTGCGTCCAAACAGTGGGCTGTTTCTTGGAATGACATGGGTAATATGAGAAAGTGTAAAATACATTCGCCCGTAGGCAAACAGAAGAAATAATTCGTTGAGGACGTTAGCAACGTGTGCAAAGTAGATGATTAATTCCTTGCCCAGCTAGCATTATTTTCGGGCGCACTGCAGATTTTTGGGGCAAAAAACTTCGGGCGTATTGCAGAACTTGGGACATTGGCCCTAAGTCTGCCCCAAAAAGTCTGCAGTGCGCTTTAAGTCACTAATACATACTAAAGCCCGCGACAACGCGCCTACAGTTCCGCATTTAACCCTCAGTCGACAACTAACACATGAGAAAACAAGAAAAATCCGAAAATGTAAGGATCCTTACATTCGAATACATATTCGAATACGACCATATTTCCACATACGAAATTTTAGCTTTCCTAAGCTTACAATAATGCGGAAGTAAAGCACTCAGTTCTGAATTACGGCTTACTTTCTAAAGTAAGCTCTGAAATGGTTTGATTTTCCAAACAAGATACAACTCGGTGCTTTTTCTCAGTATAACTGGCTCAAATTTGGCACTGTGCCTTTTTCTTCAGCATTATCAGCATTATCGCCACGAAAAATACTCATTTACCATACAACGAAATTATCGAACACAGTTCAGAATTAGTTTAGAATTACTCTAACCTTAGATTTATGTTGTATTTTATGCACATTTCCCCATTTATTTATCTAATCAAAATTGCTAATTCACCGTATGTCTAGCTAACTGGTAGTACACCTATGTGGCTTTACTTAGAATACAAGTACATGATTTTAGCCTGTATTAATAATAAAAAACAATAATTCGAAAACCACATGGGAAACGTACCGCCACATCCAATTAAAGCGCTAATATTTGTGACCTATCCAATATCGTTTTACGAGCTAGTATAAATCAATTTGATTTCTTTGTGCTCGCCTCTTCATTGTGAGGTAGAGGTTCCTGATCTTCGGTAAACATCTGCGTAGCTCGTCTCACCACTCGACTGTCGTAGCTTTGGTTGACTCCAAAAGGAGTAGTGCAGGGATGAATTATATGTGGTTTGTAGTATGAGGTGTGTTAAGACTGTTACTAATGTGAATGGAGTTGATCCTTTCATCAGTTGGTCCTTCGGTATCGTCGTCAATAGAAAAGAGATAATAATAATACTAGATAATTAGTGTAGGTTATTCAGACTAAAAGATAGAAAAAGAATAAGAAAACGTAAAAACAGTCAGCTAATTAAATTTGAAGTATATGAAAAATATATATCGGTAATAATGTATATAATAATTAATATTATAATAAGTGTAAGTGTAGTAGTTGGAGTAGTCAGGAGAGTAAGACGGGAGAGAATGTAAAGAAGTAAAACGACGAATTTAGTTGTTTACTCCTGAATAATGTATGGGATTTTAAGGGGATAGGCCATTTGGATGCAGTCCTTGTGTCGCTGCATGATTGTCCAGCCTTCGCTTAAAGATGTCCACAGACGGTGCCACAGCTACATCTGCCGGTAAGGAGTTTCAGGGACGGCAAGCCCGCAGTGAAGAGAAGAGGGAGCGCACACGGGTCCTTGACCTCTGGTGAGCCTTCTGGGATTTCCACGAGGAAGCCTATACCTATTCAATGGCAGAACACCTTCGTTTGGGTGATTCTGGTCATTTGTTATCTTGTAGGTAGTAACCGAATCCCCCCTAAGACGACTGTAGCTAATTGTAAATAGGCCTAATTTCTTCAGCCTTTCATCATATGGTTTATTTCGGTGACCAACTACTCCTTTTGGTGCCCGTCGTTGGACTCTTTACAAGAGGTTGGCGTCTCTTCTAAGCAGTAGGGGTGCAATAATATTATGCACTTCAAGGTGTGGCCTGACGTATGTTTTATACAACCTTAGAAAGAGCTCAGAAGTGAATGCACCTAACTGTCTATGTGTAAAGTGTATGACCGCATATGCCCTCGCTATATCTCCCGTGTAATTCACGTTTGTGTCCATTTTTCCGTTAAACTAGATCTAAGTCACGCTCCGACGTTGCGCAGGACAAGCTTTCGTTGCACAGAGTGTAACTTGCATTCTGCAGCCTACAGGTGCGTAATTTCACTACTTTGCACATTTTCAGGTTGCAAGTTATAACACTGGCCACCGCCCAGTCCTCCAGAAGCTTTAGATCTGCCTGCAGCCTATCTGAGTCTTCCGAACACTTTATCGCCCTCCATACCTTTACGTCGTCAGCATACAGAAGAGTCGGGCAGCTTAGCTGGCATGGTAGGTCATTAATAAAAATCAAAAACATCAGTGGTCCTAGGATAGAACCCTGCATCACTCCTGATGACGAGCCATGCCAAGATGATCGTACTCGATTGACTTAGGTGCGAAATTTCCTTTCAGCTAGGTATTTCTTTAACCATGACAGAAGTGGCTTGCATATACCTGCCTGACTTACTTTGTGTAGGAGAAGTTCATGATGAATTGTATCAAATGCCTTCTCAAAATCTAGGGAGACCACATGGACTGGAACATTCATATCCCTGCATGATGTCCAATCGTCCCAAGTTGATAGTAGGTTTGTTACACAGGATCTGCCTTTCCTGAAGCCGCGTTGAGCTTCATGGAGTCTATATTCCCTGATGTGATCATCAATTATAATTTCCAGTACTTTTGATACCACTGGGAGTATGCCTACTGGTCTATAATTAATGGCATTTCGCCTATTCCTGCCCTTGAAGATCGGAGAAAGGATGCTTCTTTTCCACTCCCTTCTTAGTTTCCCAAATCTATCGAGTGTTGGAACAAGTCACATAAAGGCCTGAAGAGAGCTTCGGAGCACTGTTTTAGAACAGATGGCCTGATGTCGTCACAACCTGGGGACTTTACAGGCCTGAGTCTCTGCAACTTCCCCAGTACTTTTGCCAGGTTTATTTGGGGAGTAGTCACTAGGTTTTCCTCCTGTGAAACAGTAGTGCTGCCATTTTGGTCCTTACCAGTAATACCCACATTGCTGTTTATCTGTTTGGTGAAGGCTAAACTGAATGTTTCAGCCATCTCCAGACTAGTGAGGTATTAGCTGTTTGGACCTACTAAGGCGCATCCCTCCTGGTCGGTTTTCTTTCCGAGATGAATCGATACAGGCTTTTGGGATTCGCCTGGAGTTTTTTGGCAAGATTAGTCTGAAATGAACTCCTGTCACTCCTGACTCTCACGTTGCACCTGTCCCTTAGTCTCAGGTATGCGTCGTGGTCTGTCTGACTCTTGGATGCTCGCCACGTAAGCCAAGCCTTCCACTTCGCTTGCAGGATACGTTGAGTACCTCTCTTCAGCTAAGATGACCTTTATTTTGGCTGTGTTGTGACTAAACGGACGATGTCCGAGATTGCTGTGTGAATGATCTCTCTAACTACTTCCCAGTGTTTGTCCACAGATAATTCAGCCCATTCTATGGGCCATTCCGCGACGGACTAAGCCCCCGCATTCCAGCATGGTTCGCCTTGTTGTAGCACAGACATGGTCGCGTAGCGTCCTACTGCAAGTGCTCACGGAGAACAAGATCGAATCCTATGAGTACATGGTCACTAATTCCTAGTGAAGCCATGATCTGGACCTTTTTGACGAGTAGTTGGTCACTAGTTAGAATATAATTTAGTTTTGACGACTTTCCACTAGGGCTCTGCCTAGCGCCGTCTCCAGTATTTCGATTGATTTGCAGTAGATTTCGACGGAATTTTCCCTGAGCATACCTCAAGCCAAGGTCCAGTGATGCGGCATTGCTATGGTGATTTGGTCATAGCCTAAGTCCCGTATACCTGTGACGGTGCTGAGGGCAAATTAAACATTCAGTACCACTAACAACCAATCAACAAACGCCCTTGAACGGACCAATCACATGAAAGGGGCATTTATGATAAAGGGAAACGTATATTTATGGGGAAAAGCATAAAAAAGCATAAAACTGTTACAGAGGGTATCTTTCACTAACTTGTGAAAGAAACATCTCTCAGTTAAGCACAGGACTGTCAACAGAGAAGTTACACCACATTCTGTACATATATTCAGGCTTGCTGACGACCACGACTGTATTTCTTCATCGCCAACAAAGAAGAAATTTTCTCCATTTTCCACGATGCAATGTCTCTGCAATGCTGATACTACTGAACTGTTGAGACGAGGCTATTCTCGGTTTCAGCAGCTGTGGCTCTCAACGGCTGTTTTAAGACCCAGTAGTTGCGAATATACAAAATCTGCCTTAGGGTGAGATGCGGCCTTGTAAAAAAAGAATCTACGAAATATTGAAATTATCAGCTTACCTACTCTTATTCTACCTGGCTACAAACAAATCCCACAACGATGGACATATCCATCAGTTGACATGCTACAGCTTTTTAAAGTCATCATACCACCACACGAACAAATTCTCTCCTTCCGAAGCAACCCTAAATCCAGGCAATACTGGAAAACATTATCCTCCTCAAATTGTAATCGCGCGCTCCTTGAATACGACGTGCTTTTACCTCTGCAACCGGAAAATACCTATTTCGTGCATTATCCGCTTGGAAAACCTGGTCTTCGTAGCCGGTGAATTAAATTCAACCATTGCTTACATATTGAATCTCTGTGTGGTAAGTCCAGCTGTCTCGAACTACTGCCAAAGCTTCAGGTGCTATTTTTGTAGCAGCATCTTCCTCACTCGTTCAGATAAACAAGACTTGTTGGTCTACCACGTGATTGCTATGCAGCCGCTCATCCAGAAAGTACTAGGTAAAGTCGAAAACCTTTTCTTTTCCTTGTCTTGCACTTTTTCAGTCTTATTTTTGTTCTTGCGGGTAGATACTGTTGCACTCTTATTCTTATATAGCATAAGTTTTAGTGATGGTTAATATGGCTGTCGAAAGTAACCTTAGAAATGGCGCTAAAACACCTTACTCTATAGTCACAAGGGCTTCAGCCAGAGAAGGCAAAAACTCAGGGACGCCAACCCCAAGTCGCATACCCATCCTAAAAACTCGTGTAGGTCTCGTCTGTCCTGAAACTACGCCTGCATTGCCACAGTCTAGTACTGAAATGGCACAGGCAATACTAGGGGGACAGGATACTACACCTGCATCAACTGAAAGTCAGTGTGTGAAACACAGCAAACCGAAAAGGAAACGTTCAAGACGTCATAAGACCTCGAAGACGTCACCAATTGAGGGAGAAGAATGTCAGGCGTGCAGTATAATAGTTTCTAAAGCTGGCTCAGCGTTTGAATGCAATTTTCGCAAATGGTGGGTGTCCTGCCATTGTGACAAAGAGGTACCGAAAGCATAATGCGAGTTTATGAGAAATAACCCGTGCCCGTGGTTTTGGTACATCTGTCCACTTTGTCGCCCTGGCATAGTCCCACAGAGCATGTCTGCGGATAGCAGAAAAAACACGCCCCTCTTATGTCCCAACACAGTTTTATGCAGCTCCCCACCTGCTAACGTCACACTGCCAAAACTTGGCTCAGACAGTAAGAAGGACACTACAGTCCTACTGACTGAAAGTGCCAATTTTCATAAGGTGAAGATTCAAAAGGTTGGACCCACAAAATCAAGGGAAGAGAGAATTAGAAAAGTACCACTTGCATACACAAGCAAGCTTGGCAACACAACAAAGGCTGGCCAGAACCTGATGAAGCTTAAAGTTGCTGATGCTGCAAAGGAATACAAGAAGCCAAAGACCAAACCTAAGTGTGAGGTTAATCGGTCTAATTCTCTTATCCTCTTTGACGTACCTGTGAGCAAGGACAGCCCTGTTTGATCAGGGGGCCCTGTTTGATCAGGAAAAGTGGTCCAACCTGCGCAATAAATCAGGTCGGAACGTTAGTTCAGTGAAATTGTGCAGGCAGT